ATACGAAGTCAACCTAGTTCTACAAAATGATGAATCAGCCTATAAACCTACAGTAAGATTCTCTGGTATTGCAGGGTCTTGTTTTAGCCAAGCTACGCCTTTAGCTAAAATTTTGGTGAATGCAGCGAGTCTTTTGCCAACAGATCGTAGATAGGATGGAGCGTGCTCTCGTCCTGTAGTGATGTCCTTCCTGGCAACAAACAAGCGAATAAAAACTGGGCATAAACTGGCTGCAATTTACCTCAACCTGCTGGCTTTCTGCTTTTCATCCCTGACGTCTTTTGGCAAGTACAGGTGTCGAAGATCATCGCCCTATATCATCTGGACAATGGTTCATTAACACTGCTTCAGGAAAACCATACCTTCCGTTTCTTGGAGGTGGTAGCCTGGCCAGTTGCTAATCCTAAAGCGACATCAGACTTGGCAATGCTTTTGTCCTGTATCTTCTTGACCTTCTTAGTTTTGATTCTCTCGAAACCTGTAGCCGCTTGATCTTCATCCTCTTCAACTTCACGAAAATCCTGAGGATAAAATGGAAGAATAGTCGTAATGTGAAAATATTGCAAGAAAGGTCCATGAGCACAAAAAAAGAGAAGCTGAAAACTCACGAATATCTGAGTGCCGCAAACCTCGCAGTACATCAAACCATCCACTACTTTCGAATGTGTGGAACCGCATACTGTGCAGGCAGAGGAAGCCATTTTTCATCTAAATGTATTTGATTTATCCAGAAGCGACAAAAAGTGAACTGGAAGTTGAGATTTCAAAGCGCACATTTAAATTTAAAAATAAACAAAAAATCCTAGCAATCCGCAATTGCACATCTTCCACTACAATGCGTTGAAAATATGATGGAGCTGGTGATTTTGTTTACTTTAGACTTCTTGTTAGGGGAAAAGGAGTTTCAAAAGAGATGAGTGATACTAGCTTACTGTATCACAAGCAAGATAATTTTATAAACAGACAGGAAAAGAATGAGAAATGCCTCTGCTTACTTCTATAGCACATCTAAAGCTATTACTGAGCTGTCGGGGAAGTTGTCCGTCACTTGCAAACCATTTTTTTTTCAGATTTCTCTACTGCTTAACACAAGAATGAAAGCATCATTATGTCAACAAAATGTTGCGGCCTTGCTTTGGCCGGAAGGAGTTTGTGTAGTTGTCGTTTCGCCTTTTTTGTTTCCTTCTATTTTTTTTGAAACTAATTGTTGGCGTTTTTGAACTTTTGGAACCAAAGTTGGTCGCTGGGTAAAAGCAGTTGAGACAGCTATTGTCGTTGAGATTGTTTCTTGCGTGGAAAGCCAGCATTCAGAGCCTTCTTGCTAGAATCATCCGAGGAAGAAAGTGAGTTTTACGTAACCTCAGAAAAAGAAACTAGCAAGTATTATCTGCTGGTCCTCAATATTTCGACTGCGTTCAACGTGCTTTATGCCGTTTTTTCTTTCCTTACTAAACAAAAAAAGAATTACGCCAATGGCATAGTTATCTATAACACTAATCCGTGCGGCGTTAACGACAATGAAAAATGAAGATGCAGCTATTTGCGCGCCCCAAGGTTAAGACCGACAACTGCACGGATTACTGTAGTAGAAGAATGCCATTGGCGTTATTTCCTTTCTTGTCTGTACTGGACGATGAGAGCTCTTCTCGCTGCCACAGTTGTGAGAGCTTTTTCGTACTTCCAGTCTCGGATATTGTCGCAAAGAAGTGGGGTACAATACGATATTCCAATGATCTGCTCCATGATTCTTTTTCTCTTAACCTCAAAAGTTACTAGGTTGGGTTTTGGCTGCTGATGGATGGAATGTATATGTTCGATACCCAAATCACAACCTTCTAGAAACAACGACTTCCCCCTCTCTTCTCGTTTTCAGATTTCACTTCCTCCACGACGTCTCTCTATATAGGTCGGACTACATG